ATGATTTTGATTTGTTAAAAACAATATGTGATTAATGGGTATTCTTGTGATGCACTTGGCTTTAGGAAGCCCTGTGCAATTTTTATTATATATTATCTCAACTTTTTATTATACAAGTCGACCTTCATTTATAATAGAAAAATGTTGACCACGTCAAAGTATACCCAAATCTAATAAAAACTCATTTTCATTTTTGGGTAGTTTCTGCTCTTTCTATTGCAAAGCGCCCAAATATAGAAGTAGAGACTAGTTTGTTTAGTAGTATATAATTTTTTTAATTTTTTTACATGCTTATAATAGTGATATTAAGATAGGCAAAATTATTTTAGTTTGTTTTTGTTTTAATATTTTCTTATACCTTTTCTATTCATATTTGTATATTTTTACTATATTTTTCTACACCTCTGTGTTTTTTTAGTTTGTTTTGTTTTATTTTTAATTTTGCTTTTTAATAAGCAGTGTAGCCACCAGCTGATAAACAATAGGAAAAAAGTCCTTAGTAAGTTCAAAACTCAAAGGGAGGCCAAGAGCTACTAAGACAAATTATATTTGGTATTTAAAAACATGTAACAAGCTTTTGTTCTGGTTAGTTAGAAATAAAATTCTGTAATCTTGTATTATTGTGATTTTTAAATAAATTGGTTTTAAATAAACAAGAGTGGAATAGCCGAATTAGAAAAAAACTAATAAACTAATACTAAAACTCATTCTATAATAATAATAAGATTTATACTAATATATACTGTATTTTTATATCTTGATCCATATATTATTAAATTAATAACATTTTTTTAAAAATTTTTCAATATTTATTACAGTAAATTTAAATCAAGATTATTATTATTATTATAAGTTAGTATTTTAATAAACTTTACAATTACTTAATTATGTTAGCTTAACTATATTTATAATATATAATCTATTATTATTCTTAATTAAAAAATTAATATTTTTAGTAAAAATTCTTGTTCAAACAATATTTATAACTTTCTATATATAATTTTTCTGGTTGCAATGCTAGAAATTCTACATACTGTTTGACAAAATTCTTAATTTCTTATATTTTTTTAGTATAAATCTTTTATTTAAATTATTTTTTTTATAATATTTATTTATCTGATTTTTTAACTTCAATATTTTTTATTTTGATCTACTTGCTATTGCAACTCTGAAATTATATTAGTAAAATGAATTATATGCTTATTATTTTCTTAATATTTTATTTCACTTTTATCTAATTTTTTTATCTTTCCAAATTTAGCTAACAAATGCAATACACTACTAATAATTGTCTTATCTGAAGTAAAACCAATATTAACTCAAGATCTTTTATTTTTATAATCTAAATTAGAATTATTTAAAAGCTATTAATCAAAATAATCTTTAGATACAACTTCATTATAATGCGTTGACAAACAGAATAACAATAAGATTCTAAAAAAAATTACTAAATTTTAATATAAAATTCAACAAATCTGCTTTTTTCTTGTTTTATAAAAGCTTAATTCAATTCTCTTATATTTATCAACTAATGTTGTGAATATGCAAGGAAGAGTTTTGGGCTTTGGCTTTTCTTGAGTTGATAATTGATTCTACATAGTTTTAGTATGCTAATACTGCCAATGTTAAAGAAATAAAGATATTAATTTATTAACCTTTCTAAAACAAAGGTCTGATCTATTTTTTTAAAAAACGTTTATCTCGAAATGATCATGAGTGATTATAAACCTATGGTCTTGTTACTATAGTTAAAAAGTCTCAATCTTCATCTGAGGCAATCAAATTTTAAAGATTTTCCATAGAGTATTCCAGCAACTGAATCGATAAGCCAATCAGATGAATGTCCTATGAGATATTACCGAATTAACATCTCGTGCGACGATAAATTTTTAAATTTGTTGGCGTAGATTTTTTTTTTTTTTATTTTTTGCGAGTAAAATGCAAAACGAACAAGGCGCTCAGTTTGATCTTTATCCACCTAGGAAATGGTTAGTTTATCATAATTACTTTTTCGAAGTCTTCTTGAGTACTTCCACTTAAACCAATGAATTGTCTCGAAAATGAGAATGTTTTTGGTAACAAGAGCACTATTATGTTCAATACAGCTCTGCGACTAATCGCCTAATCACGGCAAAAGACCATGCGTCTGTTCAGATCAATGTTGGAGAGGTTGACGAAAAAGGTCGCTTCACTAATACTTATACAACCTATGCATTGTGCGGTTTTGTCCGTTGTTCGGGTGAATCCGATGATTCTTTGAACCGGTTAGCTACAAAAGACGGCTGTGAGTTTTACATGATCCTTTCTGAGTTTGTTGTTTCCAAAAACTTTGTTAACGGCAGGTTTTATTCTTTTTATTAATAGTTCTTAAAAGGTAAGAATTGCTTGTATGTTTGAATCACATTATATTTAAACTATGCTGACAATTTTTTTTCAAAGTGTTTGGACATACCAACGTTAAAAAGTATGCAGTGCCGTCAAATCACTATACCCATGGATTTTGTCTGAATGTCCATGTGTCTAAGTAGATGCTATCAGAAGTATATGTTAAATTTAATGATAAAACATTTTTACTTGGTACTTTAGATCAAGTTGTTATAATAAATTTTGAGTTATTAGCATTTCTTTTGGTGTAACATCCACATATATGTCCATTAAAAACACTGACACTATGTTCATGAAACTGGCAGCAAATAATTAATTTGCAACTAGTACGACATAAAAAATAGAGAAGTTCAAGGCAGCAGCAAGTTTCAAACCCAATTTTTATATGTAAAATTTTGGGATTATTAACCGTAATATAAATTAAATGCTAAGTAAAAAGTTTTGACATTATGACAAGTTGGAAACATTTGCGAAATATAGTTAATTCAAAAACTAGAGTTTGAATTGTAACTCGGGGTATTACCATCCATGACTAAGTGAAAAGACGAAATTGAATTGTCTTTTTAAATGACTTGAATTATTTTATAATAACATAGGTATGATCTCCAAGTGCTGACAATATACGTAACAATAAATATGATATATATGATGGTATATAAAAGGTTTATACGAATCAAATCTGATCTAATTTATTATATATATATATATATAGTGTATTAATAATTTTTCCCTTGAATAATTCTATTTCTGTTTATTCAATTCAATTGACTTTTTTTACATGTTCTCGAATGTTTTATGTGTTAAAAAAATAATCATAAAACCTAGTGTTGTCACAATTAAGCCTATAATTATCGATAATGGTTTAATGGTTTAATATGCAGGAATTGTTACTTCGGTAACAAGCAGGGTGCACTTTACTAATTACTGCACAAGGATCTTTTAAAATCTTTATTTTCTTATATATTTTCATTGAAAAAAAAAAAGATTACAAATCAATGAAGTAATAGGTTTAGCTACGAAATAAATGAATAGATTTGGTTACGTACAGTACGTACGAAAATTAAATTAATTGCGTTTAAAAAAAGTATATATATACGTATATATATATATATATATATATATATATAGATGTATACGTAGCGATATATTTAATTTAGGTAATGACGTATCAGATATAGTACGTAATAAAAAATTCGTAACCAGGTAATCGGAGCCGTTAGCCAATGTTAAAAAACTGTTACGTTTCACTGACAAGGACACCGAAGGTATCATTTTCTTTGTTAATTCTTGGTGTCTTTAAGGAAGAGCTCTTGTCAGCGAAAATTTCATTGTATTGAATTGAATGCAATACATAGCATCATTGTATTGAATTGAATGCAATACGCAGCATCATTCATACGTAGCGATAAAGTATTAATGATTATTTATGCTCGTTTCAAATTATTAATCCTTGCTTCATAGATTTCTGTGTTAACTAAGAATGCTACAACTGTTTTGCGATAGCCTTTGATTATGGTTCGAGACTTGGAATTGGATCATGAATTAATAATAAGGGAATCAATTAACAATAAAGGAATCAATTTTTATTAATGGTTTTTTGCTTTCCTAAAAGCTGTTGGGCACTTCTCAAATTTTGAAGGAAACTTTTTTGTCGAAAAGTTTTAATTATTTATGATTCAAAGTTTTATTTTGGATGTGAAAACTCACTTTTATAATTGTTTTTCACTTATCGAATATATATATTTCCGTATAACATATCAATTTATTTAACAATCCTGCTTAGTCGCTAAATCACTCTTAGATTCTTAATTTGATAATGGAACCGAAATTTAAATAATTTATAGTATCCAAAGTGAAGTAGAAATCCCGATTCCCAAACTCAAACTAAGTAATGTTATCATTCATAAAAAGGTTTTGGCCGCGATTCTGGTGGATTTGGATTGTAATACCAGTCAACGAACCTAGTCCATGCTAGATAGCAATTTCAAATTAGTCAAATTCACAAGTTGATATAAATAATAAATTGATATATTAAAGGGTATCGTAAAGAATTAATAATTACCCCAGAAAGAAAATTTTCGACCTAGCCACCGACCTATGAATGGAAGTATAAATACGACAAGAATCTGCTGGGTTTGTTCAAGTAATTCTTCCCATTCTTCGTCAGTCGCGTCAGAAGCTACATCGTCTAGAACGTTCTGTGTTGGAGGAGGAGGGGTTCCTATTTCAGGTATTTCCTCGGAATCTTCTGAAGCAGGTATATAATTCGAACCAAAGTGAGAACGCTCAGACAGGTTACTTATATAAGCTTCGTCAAGATAACCAACGTTATCCCTTGGAATTTGCGGAATAGGTACTTCATTTGTTGTCATTTGAGACATAACTGGAAGTTAAGGACTGAAATGACAAAGCTTAAAAAAGCGTGTATGGGTCTTTGACTTATTGACTTACGCAATGTGGATTTCAAAATTCATATTACTGTATTAGATGACGTAAGAACACATTTGATCAGCTGACGAGCACACGACCTGACCTAACCAAGACAAGCCACGAGTTTTATATATATATATATATAACGAGTGATACGTCAAAGTTTTTTTTTTTTTAACGATCTTATGACGGGGTTAATCGGACAACTTACGAATGTACAAAAGAGATTAGCAGTGCCTTACCGTGATAGAAAGTCTTGGTTAACAGCTAAACTTATGAATCTTAACAACGCATTCACATCACAGGCACGATTCCAAACCACTATTGAAGATCCAACTTACAAAGGACTCTTTTATCACTCCACACATGAAGCAGTCAACTATTCGTTATCTTTTATCTCTGATCGCAATAAAGTTGAGAAATATGACATATCAGTGATTGGTTGGGTACCATTTCAAACAGGAGTGCCAAAGCTGCTGGTAGGGAACTTTAAGGAAAATAAAAATTTTATAAAGTTCTTGCATCAAGTGATAGCGGATAATGTAGCAGATGCAGATCCTCAATTACAAGCTTTGGCCAAGTATCAACAAAATGGGTAAGAATTTACTTTAAAAATTGTAATCAATTCATGCATAATGGCTTTCAACCTTGACAGTTTATTTCTATTGTTTCTTTTAACCAATCAGCTGGCTTCATGTTACTGGTAAGTTAGGTTTAATCACTAATTTGTACTTACCCATGTACGTACGTACGTACTTCGTTTGCTGATCGTCAATTCATGATCAAAAAGATGTTCGTGATCCTGCACCTTGGGGTAAGTAATGGTTTAAAAAAAAAATACAGGTTACCTTCTTTATAAATTCCTGTTTAATATAATTTGCTATGAAAATAAGCCACTTTTCCATAGCGAATTTCGTTGTTATTTTATTGTCAAACTGTTTCACGTGGTATGTACAACACATGATGTTAGGTCGCATACCCTATCCCGAAGATATCTTTGGTATGGTTCAAGTAAAAGATGGGGTGATAATTCCTGGGACATATCAACCTATGCCAACTCATCGAATTCTAACAGCAAAAGGATTATTTATGTTGAATAATCCATTTCAAGAAAAGTTATTGGAGAAGTTAAGTAAAATTTGTCGATAACCGATAAATTAATTTACAATTGCATTTGAATACAAATACGTACGAATAAATTCAATAAAAAAAAAATACCGGTACGTATATTAATTAATTGAATTTCATAGAATGCATATTAATTAATAATCGGCATCAAACACTGTTCATCCTGAAAGGTATCCTGAAGGGTTGTCCAACATTTATTATTCGTGTGACATTATGTCGCAGTTCTGTTAATTGATCATCTTCATAACGTTAATTATGTCATACCTCACAGCCCACGTGGGAGTACAAGAGACGGTATTTGTACCCGGTCTTTTATATCCTGTGTTCTAAAGATCTTGTCACAATCGATAGAAACCAGCTTCAATAATTTCATACAAATGACGATAAACAAACAAAAAATGGCATGTGCGTATGCTATTCAAACCATTCAACCTATTTCAAACCATTTCAAACTATTTAAACTATTCAAATACATAGTCATCCACTTTCCCGAATTTCCCGAAATTACTTGTCAATGAAATATCTCTGTACTACGTCAATTACAATCGAATCATTACGTATTTTCACGAGAAGGGAGCCTCAAAAAGTGGGGTTAGACCCAGCAGGGATGAAGTTGTCTCATAACGTTGGGAAATTATAATTGTCGTGTAACTTTTACGCATCTTTGCCGGTTATTGTCCATTGTCCTCAACAATCCAATGGCTGACAGATCAGATTAAGTCAAAATTGTGTCAATGATACCGATACGTTAATCATGATGCTATAAAAAACGGTAGTCGACCATTTGCCCCATGCAGGGTGACATGATGAACTGTTGATCATGTCCGTCTTATTTTATCTTAATATCAATATCGATATCGATACTTTTAATATGTAATATTATTATTGTCACGATTCAAGGAAGAGAGGAAGAGAGGAAGAGAGGAACAGTGAGAGAATTTATTAATTCACGCTACCTTTAATTATATACTTTAATTATATAATATACTGCATAACTCCTTAAAAGTGTTATATAGTTTTCATTGCTTTTTAATTATATAATTTATAATTATATAATAATATAATAATATAATAATAATATTATAATAATGTAGGTACGTACGTAGTAAATAACGATAACAATTTTTAAGCTAGGATTTTCAAGTGAACCGACCGTCAGGTAATCGAGATTATGATGTTGGGCCGTGTCATGCGCTTGTACAGATAAATGCTCGTAAAAAGTACTGTAGTTACACGGGCCGGAAGGTCTCGGATAAATTTGGAAATTGTTTTTCGATGAATGCATCTGCATCACATTACATTAACACGCTTCATTAAGCCCACTATCATATCAAAAAATAGAAAAATAAACCCACGCCTTTTGACATTCGGTTATTCCTATCAACAAACCTGATATAAACTTTTTTTTTTGACCTACTTCTCTCCAGACTCTCACCTCAAGTTTTTATATCGACGTGCGAGCTTTCTTCAAATTTCTTACATAATATCATTCATTTACAAATTACCTGAATACTCGAGCAAGCTCCGAACTTATTTCCTGTGTAAGTTATTTTTCCCATCACCTAATTCCTTGTCCTAGCTCATGCTCTCCTTGCGCACCCTACTTTTTTTGTTGTGTTGAATAAAAAATCCAAAATCAAAAACCTATTATTTTGTTTTAGAAAAAAAATAAAAACAAAATGGTTCAGCAGCAAAGTCAGACAAGTAGCAACGACCTTTATAACCATAATGGCCATACGTCTACGATAAAAGACTTGCAAGCGGATAGGACTTCTTCGGGGTTTTCACATAATTCATATAAACAAAGAAACGGTCCGATAAGTACGAGTAACGGCATATATGTTCAAAGCATACAACTTCGTCACCGTTTCATAAGTAATAGTCAATTGCGAGAGCAGGACTCTTATAACATTGCAGACAATGTTTCTCAAACTAATGAAGAGGACCATCAACACAACTCCGCTATGGCAAGTGAATTCAATGCCAAAATATCGACGACTCAGGAAGTTCAATGCCACAACCAGAATATAATTCCTAAAACACTTCCTCTCCGTAGTGAAAAAAGTCTTTCTGAAGCAATATACTCGTTATATGAGGTATGATGTTTAAGTTTTATTAATAACATTTTGTTCTTAATTAATCTTTACATTATCTTTTAGGAATTACTTCCTACAAATGAAAGTCATGAACGAAGAAAGCAATTTATCGATAAAATAGAGAGAATATTAAACGAAGAGTGGCCTGATCACGAGATAAAAGTCAATTTGTTCGGGTAAATTTTATTATATAAATTCATAATTTTATTTTTCTTATTTATTTTATTATTATTGTTTAGTTAATATTTAATTAATTTGAAATTTTTCTTTATTAATTCATTAAAATATTTAAAATATTAAATTCGTTTAGATCATCTGTGAACTCACTTGGAACATCAACATCCGATGTAGATATATGCGTTACGACTCCGTGGAATGGATTGAAAAATATAAATATATTAGCTAAAGGGATGAAAAAACGTATGTAAAATTGCTTATTTTCAACCTGTATCATATTTTGCCATAAAAAAAAAATCAATTAATCTTTTATTAATTAATAATAGATGGAATGCAAGGAATTTACTGCGTTCCAAAAGCTAAAGTACCTATTGTTAGACTTTGGGATCCTACTTTGTATGTAATTATGCGTGTTATTCTTGACCTTTTTTTTGTTCATAATGCTAAATAATTTCAATGCTAAAAAAAAAAAAAAACATATATATATA